TGGTTCCTCCCGCCTCGTGCTGCGGGCCGAGCACAGCTCCACGCCGCCTCGAACCCGGAAGGAGACTCCGGGGCCCCTTCTCTGCCAGCGAGTTCAGTTCCCGCTCCCCCCCAGGGCGCTTGGGGGCGTAGAGGTGGCATGCCCCCGCTGGTCCGCGGCCATAGACCGCTGCGGGGGGGCCCCCAGCCCGTGTGCAGCACCGCCCACTGGGGCGGAGCGGGGCCTCTGCTCGCAGCGCCCTGGGGACCTCTCGAGCCCGGCCCCCAGCCAGCACCCCGTGGGGGCGGCGCCTCCAGCCGCCTCCCCGGCAGCCCTGGGTGGCCAGAGCAAGTCTCCCTGCGGGTGAGGTTTTGAAGAATGAAGTCAAGTCTTTGAGGGCATCGCCCTTGTCATCCTTGAGTGCTTTTCTGGAAAATGAGTCATTCTCTTGGTTTTCTGTAGCCGACAGCAACCTGGGATTAATATTCAGCTTCCTGCTCCCCCCAGAAGCAATTTTGACACGAAACTTTTCAACCTTTGGATTGAATTGAAAGCGCTGAAAAATATATTTCACAGTTTTAGGATCTAAATTATATGTTAAGCGTTTTTAAAGTGACGGGCGTTGGCATGGTTGAGGTTAAATTTCTTTTCCAACTAGTTAATGAGGAGCTAGCCTGTTAATTAGGCTAATTATCACCTGTTGGGGCAAGAATGCACTGGAGGCCCTGAGGCCCCGGCTGAGGTAGAGAGCCCCCTTGCCACCCTGTAAGAGCCCGTGGGGAGGGCTCAGCTTTCCTGTGTCAGCCACACTTGGGCCTGAGACTTGCGTCTAGGAGACGAAGCCTCTCTAATCGTAAGTCCTGGTGGCTTCTGACAGAAATCGTGCGGCGTCTAACAACACGTACCCAGGAACGGGCTGTCTGGGAGTGTAGCCTGACGTCAAGGCCCGGTGCTGGTGTTCCCGAAGTTCTGGGCTCAGGACGTGCCTTCGTCCCCTGAGCCGAGGTTTTTGGATGCTCTGCACACACTCGCTCACCAGTGGGGGCGGGGGCGGGGGCGGAGCGAGCTGCACGGGCTGCCAGTGTGCCTTCCTGCTGGTTTAGCCTAGTGCCCGTTTGCTCTCACATTTGCACGTGCAGGACTGTGAACCTCACGGCTCAGGGTGAGCGGGCCGCCGTGGACACCGCGGGGACACTGCTGTCGACGTGGGGCCCGCGCTGGCGAGTCCGCAGCCGGGCCCCCGCGCCGGGCCGTCTCGCTGAGCGGTTCCCGGCCCGCGAGTGAGGGCTGCCGCGGCCCGGCGGTGGGCTTTCTCCGCCTCCCTCTGGCTTTGCTGCCCTTTGGGCGCGCCGTGGGCCTGAGGTGCCGGCGTGAGTGAGCTCAGCCCCGTGGCCTGCGGTCGCTGTCCCGCCGAGCCGCTGTTCCGGGGGCGGGCTTGCTGTAGCGCCAGCCCGGCGGGCAGAGACCCCGCCAGGCGGCCTTTTCCTCTCATCTCTTACTATATCACTGTTCGGTTATCAGTTCTAGCTTTAAAGATGAATGTGCTCATGCATACGGGCGGGGGCAGGCAGAGGTGCAGGGCGCTGAGCCGCTCCCGGCACAGCCGTGGCGCAGGGCAGGCCGCCGGGCGAGGGGCAGGAGTGCGCTCTGGAGAGGCCGCACCGGTAAGGCCTCTGGGTGACCCGCGGGCCGTGGCGGCCAGCCCGTGTCCCCGCACTGCCCGCCTGGGCTGTCCGTCGGGCTGTCGGTCGCGACTTCCGATGCGTCAGCCCCTTCGTTCCAGCAACTGCGTGAGTTTTTAGTATTCTGACGAGTTTTAGCCGACTCTTATAAAAGTCACTTGTTGGCACACCAGCTCTGCCATGGCTGTGATTTCGCCTGTGGTTTGTTAACTTGCCGAGACTGGTTCAGGGTGTCACAAAGCGAAGACAAGGAAGATTGTTCGTTTAGTTAAAATACTCCTTTTGGATATGAAAAACTTGAGCAATCGTGGACGCGCTTGGGAAGCTGTTACGCGTCGGCGCCTCACGTCTACCGACTCCTCGCCCGGAGCAGTGCCGCAGCTGTCCGCGGGCGCCGAGCTCGGGCTCCTGGAGGCCGGCCTGCGGGGCTCGCGCACGGGCTGTGTTTGCGCTTACAACCCTTCTTCGTGCCAGTTCTGTGCAGCGGCCTTGTGTAACGGGGAGCCTTCAGAGCCTCGGTCCCGCTCTGCCCAGCAAGCGCCTGCGGCAC